AAATCTTTCATCTGTTGAAGCTCGGTTGTCAGTCTGTCGTATTGGTTGTTATTCTGTTTCAACTGAATCTCTAAACTAGCCACCTGACTGGTCAAACCCGTTACCTAGAATCAGAAGGAAATGTTAAGTACCTCTTTAAAACCCTATAAAGGAAATAAAACCTGCTTTTCGTAACTTCGAATAACGGCGTCTTGGTTCTCGAGTTTCCTCTCTAGGTCCGAAGCGTGGTCCAGGGCAACAGACAGTTGTACTCTAGACTGAGTGGCCTCCGTTTCCAAAGTGTGGTTGTTGCTCTCCAAAATGTTGGCCTCCTCGGATAAACATTTGAACTGGTCCAGAATCTCCGTCCTTTCGAGTTCCTAGTGACAGATTAAGCCGTATGAAACAAAAAACAAGAAAAAATTTCTACCTTTTGGGATATAAGATCCTCCGTTCTTTTCACTTCAGCCACATAATGCTGGAGCTGGCGTTTCAAATCGTCGACTTGTCTCTGGTCTATATCCAGTTGCTTCCTCGCTTCTTTACAGTCACATACGACACTAGCTATATCATTTTGTAGCCGTCTTAAAAAAAAAACAATATAATTTGTGGTGGATGTAAAATATGAGGTTAGCAATCGTACCTGTTTTCTTGAACCGCAGCTTCTTTTTGCTTCTTTTCATTTTCGAAATCTTTCTGTAGTAAGGCGATTTCTTGCTTCAACGAACGTAGATTTTGCTGTTGAGTAGACGACTCGTCGGAAAAATTACTGCAAAAAAATTCAATTTAACTTTTAATAACATACTTTAGTATATGTTTAAATAGGTGAAACTATACGTTATTTAAACCTCTCCCTCTCTTGTATTCAAGGAAATCTTTTTAGCTATGAAAAAATACTGAAAGCGAGGGTTTTCATTAACTTGTAAAATTCTCTGACCATAGAGACAGAAATTATAAACATATTAGGAAAATAGGACAATCTAGATGTTAAAAAATGAAGGCTCATTAAAATTCTGTATGTCATAAGACACATAAAAGTAAACAATAGGATGTGTGTTTGAATGACTTGTATTGTGTCAGTGTATTTTCATGTATAGAATATGTTCAATTATAAATTAACACCTGTTATTGCTAATCCTATTGAATTTTTCAGGCTAGGACATCATCTGCATAATAATAATTTAATAAGTTGTGACAACATGAGATGTTCAACGTTACAACACAGAAAAAATTTAATATAAAACTTTCGTTCGATCTACATCTACAAGATATAAAGAATATCTTAAAAATAGAACACCCTGAATGTTTCAACTATAATTGGCATTTATTTTTAGAAATATTAATTTTTATTTCATCACTCAAAGAATCACCCCTTAAAATTTGTTAACATACTTAATTAACACCCTTTATAGTACTGTATAGTACTGTATAGTACGATACTTGACCACATGACCAGTATAGTTCCTACCTATTATTATTATTTTGACTATTTCATAGTAAACTGAAATTTACTTTTAATTTAATAGGGAAAATAAAAACAGTCGATTCAAATTCCCACATTTATACTCATTACAAAGGCGCCAAATTCAATTTTGGAAAACAAAATGTGACTTGGAACCTAACGGCGAAATATTGACAAATTTTAAATTCAAATAATTTTTCAAATACAATATAAGGTCTCTAACTTTATTCCATCTGGTGCACCACTATTTAATATTTGGTGGAGATATTTACCATTTAAATTTTGACAAACTATGAAGAGCAAGGGCGTCAAAATTATTAGTACGGCTCTGGATTTTTGCATAAATATTTATTGCCACAATTATTTATACAGGTTGCAGTCAGATCTGCATATCTTCTCAGTACATAATTCTTTATAGGATTAATTGCGTTGTTTATACAATGCTTTGTTTACGCAAATTAAGCTATGAATATGGTCAAAGGCAAATAATTTCTTATTGCTAGGTTGTAAACATGTTGTCAAAAATTTTTCAAACTAAGAACATAAAATGTACGGGTGTATTCGTTGCCATTATACCAAACACCCGTAAATGGGGATTAAGAGATACAATAAGGTCGATGAAATTAGAGCAAAGTCATAGAAGTAGATGACGAATACTGTGCCTACGAGAATTTTTTTCTTTAATCTTGAAATTATCGACGAAAAACTGAAAATATTAATTTTCCTTCATATATTTTACGGAAAAAAGGTAGACAGTTTTTAAAATCGATCATTATTATTATTACCACACTTCTTGTGCGTACGTTGTCGTATATGCTATTGCATTTGTTTATTAAGCGCATTTTTTTGATGAATTTGACTGGTTCTCTTAAGATAACCGAGACATCCTCATGGTAGGACTTCAAAAAAGACATCTGGAATATACATCGTATAGTGCGAGCACGGATGGTTTTGAAAAAAGGGAATAAAAATATTAGAGAGGACTTTTGGAAAATAATATTATTACGGTTATTTAGAAAATGACGTTATGTTTTTGAGACGGATATTTCATAGAAGTTCCTGCAATAGCTGAATATACCTAGGTATATTTACTTCCGCTTGTATCACTGACATAGAAAACCTGAAGATGATTTAATGTTACTCGAAACGTCAAATATCACTACTTTTCCACCTTCCCTCGTACAGCGGTTTTCCTTTTCCTTTTATAGGCGAATGGATCTTGAACAGATGAAGGCCGTGGCCGGTGTGTGGCCATCAAAATTCAAAATACCGCGAATGCGACCTCCAAAATTTACCTATTAATAATTACAGACGACCCGTTAAGTGAAAGTATTTTACGCACGTACCTATAGCGATGCATACGAAGAAGTTGTGACATTGAATTCTAGTTAGGCCAATAAAGAAGCAAGGCACAAGGATGCAATCATAGTTTAGCCTCGAAGATTATAAAAAACTCGAAACATAAATAATTGTCCATACAGGGTGTACATTTGGATAGATCTTATAAAATTACGTCTTAATATAAATTTTTTTGTGTCTAAACTCATCCTGCTGAGTTATTAGTTCTTAAAATGAAGATGAGCTATACTTTATGAATATCGTTTGTATATGTATATATGTATATATGTTTGTATATATGTATATGTATATTTTTTCTTACATATTATAAGCGTGACATAAATATTTTAATTCAAGAATATATGAAGAAGGAAATGTGGAGGATGACTTAGAGCAAACAGAAAATCTTTTTTCTATGAAAGGAAAAACTAAAATCATAGATAGATATAAAAAGAGACAAATAATACATAAGACCAGTACACCATGCCAACCAAAAATTGGTATTATTGTTATTAAATCATATTAACCTTAAATTTTTTGTATCTAAGACATATATTACACCACTACACACTACATAAAAGTATTATCTCTTTCTTTTTTCTTATTTGTTAAATACGTTATTGCCAAAATGCGACACAACCGAGAAAGTTTATCCAGACAATAACTACCATCGATTAAATTCTTCATATACAAGGAAATGCTAGGTGTATTCACGCTGCGTGCGTGAAGTGGTACACTATTGGTTCTTAAGCAAATTGAGTTATATAACAGAAACAAAAAATGCATAAAAAGCAGCGACAGGCGGTCATCAGTTTTGCCTAAATCGCATCCGGTAGGAACTCAAGATCTGCACGTTTGTAAACTTTCCCATGATACTTATGGTGAATTGTTCAAGGCTTCAATTTGTTATGCGTTGCTCGTAGTTGTAAATTAAGATAAATAAAACAAAGGGATGCCTTGTTTTATAAATAATGCTTACATAGCAAGAATCTTGTTTAGATGACTGTAACACATTCAAATCTATGGAGTTACTAAAATTACAAACTGCTAGAAGACATTTTTCCCAGAAAAACTAAACAAACGTTTAAAATGGCCAAAAGTTTCAAAATGAAACGTACTTAATGAACCCACTTTTTTTTAACTAAATCAATGTCTGTCCCGAATTCCTGTTAATTATTATTGTTAACACCTTTTGTCAAGGGGGTCGACAGCCAATGGATCAGGAGGGGGGCAAGATAGGAGAAAAAATGGGAGAAATATAAATTGTAGGTACAAATAGGTATAATGATTTAAATTTTTGTAGAAATATTTTTAATAAAACCTTTTTAATACAAGACAAATTTATAAAAAAAAATATAAATAACTAAAAAATTGGAGAAATTCAATGAAAATTAAGCAAAACATTTTTTTCTCAAACAAATATTTATACTAATTTACTATTGTTTTTTTCAAGAAATTGTCTTAATTTTTAAAATTAAAGTTTACTTTAATAAATAAAATATTTTAATAAAAATCTTGACAAATTTTAATATTTAAGCCAATTAAGTATTATATAATTTGCCAGATTGTTTATTTTTAAATATGAAAAACTTGATGCGAAATGTTAAAGGAAAAACACCATTCTAAACCTGTTATTAATTTACAGAATTTATTTCAGTATCTTAATGTTCTTTTGACATTTTACTACGAGAAAGAGGAATTATTTCAGAATATAACTTATTTTGCTTTGGAAAAGTACTTGGATCAACCAACGAAATTGTTCTCTGATAATAATCTAAACATTGCATTTAAGAGTTTAATAAAATTACGATTTTAAATTAATATTATCCATTAATTTTTAATTACAAAAAATTAAGTATTAGCAATTTTTAATAACTAATAATTTTTATTGTTACCTTGAATGATGCTCATGATGGAACTAAATGAATAGAATATATATATTTTTAATTTCATATCAACTACTATAGAAATAAATGAAATAGACCCGATATTAAGAAAACATCGGGGTAAAAAAAATTGAAAATTGGACCATATATAGCCTCACTATTACTTCATTGTGTGCTAAAATTTCAGTTAGTTTAATTATCCCATTTTTTAGTTATTAATGAAAATGTTGAAAAAATCACGGTTTTTTGACTACAAATCTCACTCTAACTCGTCGTAATTTTGTTGTTAATTCATAAAAAATTCCAAATTTTTACTGATGAGAAGTCGAACCGTTGTCTTTAGTACTGTGAAGGTCATTTGTCTCAAAAGCTCTTCAAATTTTTTTGCCCCTACGTTTTCTTAATGTCGGTTTCCAAACTCAGGGGTCTATTTCAATTATTTCGATAGTAGATAATTATTATTAATCGCTAATGAAAAATGTACCCATAACCATTGCATGAGTCGATCAAATAAACGACAATATAGAACCATATTTAAATTAATTTATGAAATACATTTAACGTCACGTGACTAGAGGTTATTTCATGTGATCAAATTAATCAACTAAGGTAAGGGTTTCTATACACGTAATTTGTTCAATAATTCAAATTTTCATCAAAGATAAGGCAAAGAAAAGTAACTATCACGAATACCCTTTTTAATAATATCTTGATGGACAGAACATCTACGAGCATACTTATGTAATCGCAAGCAATTTGTCTGATATAACGGTTTTTGCTCAGATATTGCAACTACTGACGTCCCTCAAGGAACCAATTCGGGACCTCTTCTCTTTTTGATCTTCATCAATGATTTATCTGATGCAAATGTTTGATATATTAGCCCACGATATGAAATTGAATACTTTTGTTTCGAATTTATGTGATTGTATTATCTTACAACTGTTTTATTTTTATATAAGATGTAGGAGAAGGTTGACTGTCCTGCCCTATTTTCGCAAAGTGATATATTAGTTTCTAGACTTGCAACTAAACAAAATAATAGATTTTTTATCCGAGCTCAAATAAGTTTGTTCCCAAAAACACCAGTCAATCTACTGAGTACTAATATAAACAACATACCTTCCGTTTGTGACATTCATACAAGCATACCCAACGAATTATTTTTCTAACTTTACTACACTGAACAATTACGGATTGTACATTATAATAATAACACAGCTACACACAAAAAAAGTTGTCTGTACTTTTCATGCGACATACGTAGGTAGTATTTTTACCCTCTGATCACGAATCAGGTGTCAGAATTGAGCTATCACATCACAGGAATTTCCTAACCTCAAACAGGTCAAACATAGCAAAAATTCATGAAAAAGTGCTAGGAAAAATACATTTTTTTTTATATGTTCATGTTCATTTATATGTATGGTTAAGTCCCGCTAATTATTAAGTCCCGCTAAACGTGATTCAGAGGTCAGAATTGATGTGTCACATGATGGTTCTTTTTCTAATGTCAATTAATAACGAATTTTCAAAAAATAACAGATTCGCGCCTTTGATATACGGGGGTTTTCGGGAGGAGATTTACAAAATTCGTTTTTAAAAATTTTATCAATTACCTATGTACTTTATTACCTGAGATTAAGCAGAAACTCGTGAATAAATCTATTACAGAAAAAAGAACAAGATATAGCCGAAAAAAATAAGGTTAAAACATGATTGGGTACTCAGGTTATAAAGTAAACAAAAATATTACAAAATGAATTTCGCAATTCGTGATCAACGACCCCGAAAACCCCCGTATACCAAATTTAGCGCGAATCTGTTATTTTTTGAAAATTTGGTCGGCCATCTTGGATCCGCTCTTATGAATTTTGCAAAATAGACCACGGATCCGTGATCAACGACCCCGAGAACCCCCGTATACCAAATTTAGCGCGAATCTGTTATTTTTTGAAAATTTGGTCGGTCATCTTGGATCCGCTCTTATGAATTTTGCAAAATAGACCACGGATCCGTGATCAGCGACCCCGAGAACCCCCGTATACCAAATTTGGCGCGAATCTGTTATTTTTTGAAAATTCGTGATATCTGACCTTAATTGAGGTTAGAAAAAGAACCATCACGTGACACATCAATTCTGACCGCGGATTTACATTCGGCGGAGTCATGACCATATAAATGAACATTTGAATATAGAAAAAAAATGTGTATTTTTCCTAGCACTTTTTTTTGGGAATTTTTGCTATTTTTGACCTGTTTTTTGAGGTTAGGATATTCCTGTGATGTGATAGCTCAATTCTGACACAGGATTCGTGATCAGGAGGCAAAAATACTACGGATAACATGTCGCATGGAAAGTACAACCAACTTTTTTTTGTGTCATCATTGAACTCGAATTTTTTCTGTATTTATTTATTTGTATAATTGTTCTATAAATAGGAAATTATCGGGCACTAAACGCTATTATTATTACGATTCGAACTCCCCCACGAAAGGGGGGAGTCTTCTCCTTGCGGAACGGTCCGTGGCCAGCCGCATCAACGAGGTTTGAGGTTTTGTTTTGGCCTGGCCTTCGCCTAGTGCAGTGAACGAACTAACCGCGGACCCAAGGAGCGTCGGGCGCGCCGCTAAATGCCATTAGTCAATATCGTCTGAAAACTCTACGTTCAGCACCCCGAGAGCCCGTTGAATGAGACGTAAACCGCGAAGAGGTCCCTTACATTAAGTTTGGCCGCCGAAAATGAAAACTGCGAATAGTGAGTAGTACCGGTAAAAATCGGGTCTAAAAGTCTGGAAATATTATGTTGAGGATACCATCGCGTATTTCCCAGCGCCGGATCTAATATGGGCAAAGGCAATGGAATACAGGTACATGTTTATTATTCGATATAGTGTCTATTGCGTTCGCCTTTCAAGGGATTTAATTCATTAAATATCAAAAACCCTCTATTTCCCCTTATTTCTTCTATTTTTTTTTTTTTTTTTTTTTTTCCGAGAGGGGAAATCCATCATGGATACCTGGACTTATGTTCTATCGCCCCAGGTTTTTTTTTGAAAATTATCCAATATAATAAAAGAAAATCTCTGAACTTGTTTATTTGTGGCATAGTTTTAGTTTCCTCTGTATATTGCCACCTAAGGGTCAAAGTGATCAATAAATGGTTATTTTTATGAAACTATTTTTGTATAACCAAAATTCTTACATGTAAATAAAAAGTACACAACAATACATAAATACACAAATATCAAGTACTTCGATTATAATTAACATTTCGAAAATTCTTTTTATTTTTGGTTTTCATTACGTCTATTACTTGTATTACAATACATATTTCACTGCTTAATAATATAATAAGGGTATATTTTAATTTCTTTTAACAGCGTTATATTTTGGCTGAAACTTATTGAATACATGATTTTCCCAAGTGTCTTCGCAAATTTTTTAATTCCCAAACATTATTGGCGTCTTTTACAAAACGGTTTGTAAGTATTAGTTGTCTGAAAAGCTGTTCTAATATTAAATTTACTTCCTAATTCTAATTCTAACCAAAGGAAACAAATACAAACCATCAAAAAAGAAACGTTATTCCCAATTTTGATTGACGAATAAAGACTGACTTTTCCAAACATTAACTATACTTGCGAAGTGCGATATTTAGTGGCCAATACAATAATCACCCGATGAACAACCTTCAATTTATGATATGGACTTGGAAAACATCCTGTACAAGTAATCATTTAAAGTAACCCAGTTTGTTCTACAAGCAAATACAGAAGTTATAGAAAAAACCTTTTCGAAATATAAAAAACTGATATACAAACTAATTTAGCTTTTTAAAATAGCATTCATATCCAATGGTCAATGGTCATTGCCAAGGCAATTGCAATGAACCACGTTTTATCATGCACATTTAAAATTGTTGCGTATAACTGAATATTTTATGTATTATTTACAATTCGGTAGATACTCTGTTATCTTCATCTCTCTCAAGAAAACATTTATATTTTATTTCGAAAGTCTGTCTAAAACGCATTATATCCTGTCGTTTGTAAAAATGTTTAATGAAAATACAAAAATAAACGTTATTAAATTGCTTTCATAACATACAGGATGTAACTAAAACGTTTGCCCAAACTTTAGGGCGCATTCTACGTTATATATTAACGACAAAATTTTTAGAAGATAAAATTTCAAATAATAAGTGTAATCACATTATTCACAATGAAATAAAGTACAGTTTACTGGATTCTTGTCAAATTTATTATGCAAGTCGATTGAAATTTTTTCATTAACCCCAACTTTTGTAAAATAGTTTTTTAAAATAAATTGCATATTTACAATGCCACTTTTTTCGCTCTATACAATGAAGTCAACATTTTTGCAATCCGACGTTTCATCTTCGAGGGGCTATCATCAGGTTAATTTTTTTAAATATGTCGCTGCTACTTTTATCACCAAATTTAAAGTCATTTTTAATTCTGAATTAGATGATATTACTATTGTAATTGCTTAAAAAGGTTTTAGCTTGTTTTAGCTCATTTAACATTTTTCCTGAGTACGGCTCTGAACGCTTTCAAAATATCTATAGGATGAAGTCATAACAGTATAAAAGTCAATACCGCACAAAATATCCAACAATTTTTGTTACTACTATCATCAATACTAATTAGAAATAATAAAACATTTCACAAATCGTATTTTGTTATTAGGTACAACTTTTTAAATTATTGATTAAAAAAATTGTTGGATATGTTGATATGTATTGACTTTTATACTGTTATGGCTTCCTCCAATAGATATTTTGAAAGCGTTCAGAGCCGTACTCAGGAAAAATTTTAAATGATAGCTAAAAACATTTTTAAGCGATTACAATAGTAATATAATCTAATTTAGAATTAAAAATGACTAGATTCTGTCATAAAAATAGCAGCGACGTATTTAAAAAAATTAACCTGCTGATGACCACTCGAAGACGAAACGTCGGATTGCAAAAAAGTTGACGCCATTGGATAGAGCGAAAAAAGTGGCAATGTAAATAGGCAATTTATTTTAAAATTTGCTTTCAAATAAAGTCAGAAAAAAATAAAACGATTTTGCAAAATTTCGGGTTCGCGTCAACAGTAGACTTTGCAGTTAATACTTTGTATTGCTGTAATCTCAAATCATCCAGAGATAATTTATCATTTGTGCATTTGTAATTCGACTTACAATTAGATGTTTATAGCAATACTGTACAAAAATAAAGTTTTGGGTCAAACAATGAAATAGGTTTTTTTTGTATTTTTCCCATAGAACTGAATGGTGTAATCAGTTCTTTTTTTTTTAATTTAAAAAAATTATCAACAATTACTGAAAAATTCAATGTTGCAAGTCATTTTTTATTTTTTGCATTTTTGAGCATGTTTTTGAACTGTGAATACTGATTTTATTTTACCAAGAAATATATGTCAACACGAAAAAAATGATGACCGGCAGAACTCTGCGCGATGATTTTTCTAAGTAGAATTTTCCTTTGAAAAAAAGTGTTTCAGTCCGGAAAAAATGAATATCTCAGAAATTTCTTGATTATTTTATCTAAAAAAGTTTGTGTTTTTTTAAGGCACAGTAAGGTATACTTTCACCAAGTTTCGTCAAAATTAAGTTATTTTTACGGAAATGAGAAATAAAAAACGAAAAATCAGAAAAAACCTGTTTTCGCATATTTCTCGGAAATTTTGGGGTTATCGTAAAAAGTGACCTCTACAAAAGTTGTAGATTTTGCATGAACTACAACTTTTGCAATGGACACTTTTTTATTTGACGTCAACTTTCGCCAGAATACAATGATACAATTTTTCACAACATTTCAACAACCCAAATCAACCCTCCGCCACCCCTGCTCACGCATTTATTTTTTTTAGGTTTATTATAAGCCCTTTTACCATTTCCACTTATGAAAGTCCAGGTAACAAAGTTTTTTTCTCCAAGTGTAATTTGGTTGGACTAACAAGGGATGGTATGTTTTTTGAAACACCATAAACAAGAAACTATAATTCCCAGCTATAACAGCTATTGTACACTTGCGCTTCTCTCCCTCAACCTTGACAACATCTGCATCAGTTTCCTCTTTTAATCTTCGTAATGCATCCGCTGCAGTTTTTCAGTATTTTTCACTCGATCTAATAACCTTTTATCAGCTATTTTTCATTTATAAGCAGGTACAATCGTATTACATTAGCAAACGTTTCTAGAGCTCATTAAAAATTAGTTTCCCCCTGTACACCTCGGCGACCAAAGCATGCCCGACGTCGTAAAAAACAGCCATTGATAATTACGAAATTTGAATAACGCTCCGAAGCACGAAAACTAATTTACGTGACTCAACGTCTACAAAGGCTTGCAAATTGCTCATTTACTCCGCATTATAGTAAATCGGTGGATCGATTATATAACGACTTGCATAAGGTAACCCCGTTTAATTAACCAAATTGCCTAATTGGATGCGAAAGAGATGCACACAAACAATAACGGCAAAGTCTGAGAGTATCCGTTTCGCTGAACACTAAAATATAAAAACAATACGAGCGAATTTAAATCCGCAGCTTTCTACATAACGAAAACGGTAATACTAGCCAGCGTATTGTATAACATTGCCATTACCTAATAGCGCGGCTTACGGCACATCTGAAGAATTTAGGGCATGGGAATAGCCAAATTAAGAAACTCAATGCTACCTCTATCGACACATAACATATGACGTTTTTATGTAAGTACGTTGAAAATTCGTGGAAGCACTATCAACGGACAGAAATCGGTACAATACGTGTGTGACAGATGATAATTTTTTTCACAGAATAGACGCCGCGGTTTGGCCTTTGTTACCTACAGATTGCGTTGCAAAACAAGCTGACTCCGAGGTATTGCAATGCATACATAAATGGGAGTGCCAAATGATAACTTATTTAAATCCTGGATAACAATACCTTACCCCTAGATCCTTGATGTCAAAATAAAATTACATTTTCATTTTATACAACTGTGGGCATTAAAATCTGCCAAATTATCTTGAATATTGCTTAATAAACATACAGGGTGTTTGGTAAGTCGATGCTATTCCTTGCAGGAGGTTGTGGTGCGAGTGATTTGTGATATATTTCCTTAATATACCATATTCCGAAAACGCTTGGTTTCTGATCTACAGGGTGATAACGTTTTAATAAAAAAATGCAAATTTATAAATATTGCGGAAACCGCTCAGAATATTTTAATGAAATTTTACAAGCTTTGACAATTAACAACAATACATGTTTTACGATTTTACAATTTCGAGTCGCCCGGAGTAGCCAAGCTCTCGAGTACCCCCGCATCACTACCTCCCATACATTTTTCGTGAATTTCATGCTCGGTCCAATAGTTTCAATCGACGTTTTATATGGGTTGCACAAAAGCGCAAGTTTTGCAAACTCATTCCCGGAAAGTACTCGGAATGACAAAGGTATTTGTTTAAAAAACAGCCTTCAACTTCGATCGACTATAACTCTGGAACCAACTAACGAATTACCACGTTTTTTTTTTTAAAAGAATGCGTTTTTCCGAGTACTTTAAAAGTATAATTAAAAAAATATATCATGAATTTATAAAGTTGTTCTATTTGTTTATAAGGGTAAAAATTACGCATATCTTTAAACGATTACCACGGCTCTCCTAATTAACGGATTTCAATTTTTCTGGACGCATTTTAAAGTTTGAGTGCCCTTTTTTATGTGATAAAATTTTCAAGTATCTAGAAGTCTTAATTTAGGCTCAGTTAAATTTGCAAAAATTTAAATTTTTTTTTTCAAAAATCTGGATTGCAAAATTATTACTCGGAAACTATCGGACCTATTTTAACGAAAATTGGTGTGATGTTTTATTACATCAAAAAGACTTTTTTGGACAAGTATGAAGATCCTACCTATAATATAAGTACATACTTTTAAAAAAATCGCAAAATATTGTAATTTATTCATTTTTTTTGTTGTGTTTGCTATATCTGCAATAATTATGTTGTATTTTTTTATTTGAAAATATCTTGTGTAAAATTTATTTACGAATCTTTTTTTCCTCTTCAATTTTTCTCTAAAATGAATGTGTTGGAAAAAAAGAGTAAAAAAACGGAATTTTTCCAATTTTTTCACTATTTGTTTAATAATAAGTTTAGCACACGTTTTAAAGCGCGCGCATATTGAAATTGTGTTTTGTTATATCATTTTGGATGCATCAAAGCAAAAATTAGCGATACTATAAAACATCCATACATGGGTGTTTAAAAACAGATCTCGCTTGGTCTAGAGGCATTTGCTTTTACTTTTACTCTTTAAGCAAATGCTTCTGATTTATTTATTACATCGGGATGCGATATGGCCATACTTTTTTTACAGATTTCCTTATAACTTCCATACTTTTGTTATGAAAAATAAAAGATTATTTCAAGTTTTTCCGCTTATAATGTTTTTTATTTCTGCCAACTTTCGCGTAATTAATTATTTTATTAGTCATCAAAAATTTAATTTACTTCGTAATAAAAATGAAACAATGCTTGGTAAAGTTCAGAAACATCTCTAATCCAACGTTCTTTTACTTCACTTCTAATAGCGCATAATCCAGCAAAAAAATAGAACGCATTTGAGACTTTCCTGGGGGTGATTATTTAATCACATCAACTGTAGTAGGTACGTAGGTACTTATTTGCAATATGCACAAACAAGATTAAATTATTGCCACAGCCTAGGGCACCTAGTAAAATATGCACGTATGCAAGTCTGCTGCATTTGTCTCGCAGTTTTACCCAGAATAATGGATCCTTTTTATTTTTTAAAGTTCAAGGCAATGCATTATACTGCATAACGCCACACCATGAAGTCGTGTTCCTAGAAAGTTACATAAGGCCAACGCAAATTGGCTTTATGTTGCTGGCTGTTGTTTGAAGGTATCGTTATTCAGTACAAGAGTCACTTTGGAGCAGAGGCGTATGCAAGGGAGAGCCGCATTTTACTCTTAAGTATTACAAAATTAATATTCCTGTTTGATGTTTGACACTTCAACTAGCCAAGTAAAATTCCTTCTCATTTTAAGCTCTATTACTATCCCAGAATTAAATGCCAAAGTTTTAACCACAAATTTAATTCAAAACCTGCTTTTAAAGAGTTAAATACGAAGTTAATGCTGCCACTTTTTTCTGGGACATCTGTATATACACTATTACTATGAAATATAGTAAGAGATATGACTACTTTTAACTATTAAATGATGAATACTGTAAATTATAACAAATAAAATATGGCGTGATATTTGCCAGAATTTATCTGTTTTACAGTGAACTACAGTAGAATTGTAATTTTATCAAGCGGTGGATGGCCGTAAAGGAACATAATTACATCTAATTCATTAGTAGCACGAAAAAAGGTACATACGGTGAAAGTTCAACGCATCTCTAAATTATTATAATATAAAAACTGATAAGGATTTCATGGAACAAGACAAAACTGGAAGGTAATAGTCAAAGTCCGTTATTATTAACGTCCGTTGCGTTACATTAAAAGAAATTATATCTTCACTTCACACAAAATATTGCCGGTAAAACGACGACCAGAAGATGAATAATTGTGTTCATTAGAAATGGAGAATAAACATATTACACCTATTTAAGCCTTGCACAATCGAAATTATACTTTCTATACAGTAAATGTCCAATGCGATGCGTGTTGTTTAAATTTATAACCCTAGCCCACAATTACTTTTTTTTTCGTTTTGCGGTGGACAGAGGCATTGCACTGTCTCTTTCACAAGCTTTAGCTAAATACAAATTGTAGAAGTTAAGTTTTGAACTCGGTTTTGAAGGATCATATGAATCAAGGAGATTTGTTTCAGGTATTTCCTAGGCATTAAAAAAATTAAAACTAAAAGAGATAAAAGGTATGCTTCAGAATGGTAGAGCCTCCAAATTCTTATAATCCCAATGATTTATCTCAGACTCTCTTAGTACACTTATTTACAATAAGTCTTTATTGCTCTATATCATTTCCAAACACAATATACATACAGGGTGTGGCGTGTATAATCTATAAAAATTAACCTACAGCTTCCTGATGATATTTGTAACAGAAAAGTGTTTTACGAAAAAGTTCTATCTTCGCGTTTTTTTTTTTGTAAAAAGTAAATCAAAGTAAAGTAAATTCAACAAAAATGAAGGCCGACCCTGTGTTATTTATTAAAAACTTTGGAAATGTTTTTATGCGACCCGAGATGCAAGCAAAACAAATAGGAAGTGGATCTTATTTGTTGAAGGGTGAAATGGGCGGTGACTATTAGACGCCTTTATTATAGCCATCTTTCTCTATCGCACGGATTTCTATGACTTTCTTTATCGCTCTCACCTAACGGCCGATGAACCATGGGGACTTTCCGAACCTGTATATATGCATACATAGCTTACTTAAATATAATTTAACAGGTACGTGGGCGAATGCGTAACTGATTATAATCAGTATTGCGATATATCCTGCTGTTAGGGCATTATTCTAATGATCTTGTTGAAATAAATGACTTAAGTGGCGTAGATAATCAAAAAAACGTAATTGAAACAGGCATGTCTATTTATCAACCACTTAGTAGCATTAAATATAATTATCCCATATTTTTGTTTCATATAGATATACATTTACTAAAAAAAAAATTAAAAATCGGTTAAACATTTATCGCAGTAAAATGTTAATTTGCGTTTAACTTCACTTTCTGGCGATAAAATTTAAATTATGGCCTTACTCGGAACATGATATGGACTTGCTTTTATTACTTTGCGCTTGTGGTTGACAACCACAAATAAATGAAATCATTGTAAAATTTAAAATCATCAGTAAATATATAGAGTGTACCAATAATGTCGTGATAACCGTTAAGTAAAACCGATTTTTCAAAGACCGAAGAGAAATATTAAGTACTAAACAATACTTCTGTTGCAGACATGGCTTTTTCATTTAAAAATATTATTGTTCCTAACGCAACCCTACGTAGAAGCAGCGGTGATGGCACCACCGTGGGCCAATCCCAAACTAAACCCCTGTGCGTCTCAACCCAGAGGATGGCAACTTCTGTTTTGGCCGCCAGACGGAAAGTGCTACAAAATTTTTCAGGTAAAACATGATAAAATTGTCTGATCACTATTTATTATTATTTTTAGTGTATTATTATTTGGAGCTACAATTTATTTATTTTAATCTTCATAAGATAATAATTGAGAGCTGAAAAAAATATGTAATCGGTAACATATATAATTAAAAATTTTGTAATCATTACTTTCGCGGTCCTTAAAATCATGTCAGGTGTATGAACTACTATTTACACTATTTACAGCTTATAAAAACACATGGATATTTAACCAGCTGAAAGTAGTTCTCAAGAGTTACGAGAGTTCAAACCGGTATTATATAACTAATATAAACAATAAAGTAATATAAATTTCAAAAATTTATACAGCAAAACATTTTTTCAGAATATGTGATTAGTTGCAACTTTCTAACTTATGGAGTAAAGGATGAGAATGGTTATATAACCTTTTGCCTAGATGTCCAGGCACGACATTCTGAGTATGGATTTCCACTTTTCAGTAAGAAATATTTGAAAGACAAGAGAGTGCGTGAAAAGTTTTGTAATATAAACATAAACTATAGCCTTGGTAAATCAGGGAACTATTTTTCTCCTAAATTTCCCGACAGAATTTCAGAAATTCGACGCTACTGGATATTCTAAGAAAAACTTGAATTCAATTTAATTATAACCCTAAAACTACTCTCACAAAAGAAGTGTATAGATTTTTTTTTATTAGAAATGCGGTTTTACATCATATGTTTTAATTAAAATGTCTCCCAACCAATAAAATAAACGTGCGATCAAAATTTCTTAGACATTGGAAAGATGAGTTCCTCATCTTTCCATTTTGATTTAAAATCAAAAGAAAAAAATCGATGAAAATAAAGAGAAATATTGCTTTCAGTTGGGTCATCCGTGTCCGGATGGAATGGAACTAAGCCCTTCTACCATCAAATCAGACGAAAGTTTATCAGCCGAATGTCGTTGTCCACCTGAAACGGCACAGTCCGCCACAGACGGAAAATGCTACAAATTGTTCACTTTAGGACCCTGTGAAGTTGGATACTATTTTGGACCAGACACGCAATATAAAAGTGCGAAGTAAGTAGGTACGCGTAATACAGGGTGTACCAATATTCTGTGCACCAGACTTTTAGATTCAAAATAAGACAATTTAAGTAAACCAAGTAAATGCGATTCCATAGGCGTATCATTTTAGAGAAATTATTTAATATACAATAACAAATAGATATGGCGATTTTGGTTATAAATCTACACNAGGGTGTACCAATATTCTGTGCACCAGACTTTTAGATTCAAAATAAGACAATTTAAGTAAACCAAGTAAATGCGATTCCATAGGCGTATCATTTTAGAGAAATTATTTAATATACAATAACAAATAGATATGGCGATTTTGGTTATAAATCTACACTCACACTGATGTATTCAAATACATATCCAAAAGGTAGGTACATTATTTATTTGTAAAAAACACACGGAAATAAATAAAACGTGAAGTTAACACGTTTTTCTCACTTGCACTTCCACGCATATGACACGAAAGGAAACGCACAAGTTGGAAACTGACATATCAAGAAATTAAACTATGTAGTGCCAGTCATTTCTCTCTTTGTACATGGTTAGGAAACATATACCTGTAAATGGGTGCTTGTAACAAACAAAATGGGTACTTGTACCAAGCGCACGCGTAGGCTGGAAATATTTTTAGTAAACTATGCAAAATGATTACATTACAATATTCATCTAGCTAATATGAAATATTATTTATCAGATTAAGAACTTGTAAAATTGTGGTTTGATCAATTTATGAAATTTACTGCCCACTATTTTGGAACTCTGGTATTATTATACAGGGTGGCCAAATGAAAACGAAACAGAACCATTTTCAGGAACTGCGTCAAGATTGTAGAAAAACGCTCAGACCCGTCGATTTTAGATTAAAGGGGGACATTCTTTGCTGGTATTTTTGACTCCGCCACTTTCACCCCCAAGCAAGGGTAAGCATCACCCCAAAATATTTAAATGGCATTGGGGGTTGAGTAATATTTCTTTTGAAAGCTCTTACAATTCTCTTTACAACAGACTTTAAATTTTATAATTCCACCCAATATTTATTAAGAATTTTGATTTTAAAACTTATGTACAAACAATTAGTAATGGTAAAAATGTCAGTGTCATTCGAGTTAAGTACGTCAATGGTATAAATTTAGTATTTCTTGCGTTACATTGGTTTTCGGCGATTTGTTATCACTTTTGTAAAAAAACACACCCCTTTAATCTAAAATTGACGGGTCTGAGCGTTTTTCTACAATTTTGACGCAGTTCCTGAAAATGGCACAGTTTCGTTTTCATTTGGCCACCCTGTATATCTATCCAAAGTTACTTTGTTTTGCTGTCACAGAACATCAAAGTTAGCAAAAAAAATGTTAGTTTCTTTCAAACGATTAGTTAGATTTAGATGAAATTTTGTATGTAGAGAAAATTTCTAACAAGAAAAAACATTTGTTTTCATTTATAGTTCTAAACGTCAGTGGGGTGTCTGCAAACAAATGAAACTCTGTGCCAACCGCTCTTTGCTCTACTGGCCAAAAGATGATCAGTGTTACCAGAAATTCAGTCGTGGACCTTGCGCTAAAGGGCAACTTCTTACCATGGACTTAGACAGTGGGATACCTACATGTAGATGTAGTCACCACAAAGAACTTAAGGACTACAGGTACTTAATATTTTCTGTTAAAATTTTCAAGTTATTGAACATAATAGCAGAATGGGAAAACTAATCTAATTTCATTACTTATTGAAACAGATATGAAGATGGACACTGTTACCAGCACTTCACAAGGGGTCCTTGTTGGGAAAAGGGCCATTTGTTTCTACCTGATAAGTCATGTGGGTGCCATAGTTTTTTACCTCATTTTCACGAAGACAGTGAACAATGTTTCGAATTAGGTAACTTTTTCATCAATTTTGAGGATATAGGAAACTGATTACTTTTTTTTTAAACAGATACAATTGGTCCCTGCGGTCAAGGCCAGATCTACCAGCTCCACCCGGAGACGAGACACGCGTTTTGCCAATGCAAACCGGGCTACATCCAATACAAAAACATGTCCTCCTGCTACAGACCGTACACCCAAGGCCCCTGTCCCGCCAAACATATACTCGAAGACAGTACTTCCTGCATACCTCAACCGTGCGAAAGAGGACACCTGTACTTCCCCGAACGGAAACAGTGTTACCGCATCGGTACAAGAGGGCCGTGCGAGAAAAATTTCGTGGTGATGTTCGATTTTAAAACGAGACCTTCCATAGACGGCATAAGTTACAACGGTCTGTGCACGTGCGAAACAAGAGATTGTAGTCCGCAAATAGTCAGCTCAACTAAATGTGATAAAAGTAAAGGGTTAGTGAAATATAACGAAGAGTGCCATAAGATGTACACGCAAGGTCCTTGCCCGAGGGGTTCCTGGTTGGTGCCCAGGAGGCAGGGCAGGCTGGAACTTTTTACCGACGGCAACGGCGAACTGTCGGGGTATTGCGAGTGTATCCCCGGCTATAAAAGGACTGTACGGGCGACGGAATCCAAGAACGCAACGATGTGTGTATCCCCGGAAGTGATATTAGCGGATTATTTAAATGGAAATTTGACGAGTGCTCAAGTTGTTAAGATTAAATGAGAATTAAAGGGTTTTGTTTGAATGTGAGACGTTTTAAATATTTAAGAAAAAATCCAAGTACAAATTATTTTCCTATGAATCTCCAATCTTATAACGTAATGTGTTAAATTTTTAAAGCCTATATAATAAAATTTGCTACCATATGCTTATTCTTTATTAAAAATAATAAAATTAAGTAAACATAAGAATAAAATATACTGCTTAAAAAAAATAAAGCCATAAGCCACGTGACCAGTATTTTTGTTTCCACGTTGATAATTAAAACACAACATTCTGTTGCAGCGGTTGGTAAGTGACTTAATTTTTCGAGATTTTATTTAATCAATCAGGGATCGCATTATCTCGAGCGCAGACGTAACAGTTTGTCATTGTTCATTGTAAACGAATTATTAAAATTGATGACGCTAGCAGCCGAGCAATGTTGGTTGCCTAAGCTCAACGGGTACGTGGCCTGTAATCAATTATGAAAGCTCCGTACCTTGTAGTAAAGTAGATTAGTTATGTATTAATGTCTTGTGATCAAGTTTTCAAAACTGTCTTTGATTTCCACCAAAGACAGTGGACTAGCAATTAATTCATGGCAGTCAAAAGTTTGTATCACGTACGACTGTGCTCCTGTGCTTCGGAAGGTTTCGTGACGGCCTAGACAGAGCGCCTGACGACAAGAGGATGGAGCGTACTCGCACAAGCCAAACAAACGAAAACATTGAAATTATATGCTCTGCGCTCAAGTCTGATCGTCGATCAACCATTAGAATGTTGACAGACCGTGTACGATTGATCAACAAACAGATTTTAACGCAGAGCTTCGATGTTTCCTTTCTGTCGGCTTGTGCGAGGACGCCATGTTCATACACTCTGTTTCGGCCATCAGGAAACCTCCCGAACCACAGGAATATAGTCGAAGATGATACACACTTCTCACCATAAGCCATTTGTAACGGTTGATATATTTCCGAGGCCATTTCATTGGCTTTAAAACGTAATTTGATTGCTTGAGAATTACCAAAAACCCGCTTCACGCAACATTATAACTTCGTGGTAATTTTGATCAGTCTCTCGGAAGACTTCCTACTACGTAGTTCCGTTAACCGCACATAGTAAGCACCACACGCTTCGCCACAATAAAATCAGTCTTAAAACTTAATAGCCGGATTGTGTAGGCTCTTATAATAAAAAACGCGTAAGCAAAAAGTTGGCATGCAAAAATATATGTAAAAATTTACTAACCATAATCTCCATAGTAAACTGAAAAAGGCTAAAGAAAAACGGACTTTAGAAAACATATTTATGTCTCGAAGCGATACAACAGCGTGCATCAAATAACAAAAAACACATTAACAAAATTACGAATGGAAATTACAGCAGATTTAAAAATAATTTGTAATATTCACGGATTTTAAAAACCTAGTGCCAAATTTTTATGAATAACTAAATTATTTCCAAAATTTCCCTTTAAAAGAATAATTATAAACAAAACATTTATTTTTCACTTACCCCAATTTCCTTTTGAGCTCCTTCAGCTCCATTTCCAAGCTGGAAATTGAATTCTTCTTCTCCCTCAGCTGATCCTCCAACAGCGCAATTTTCTCCGTCTTCTCGTCTACTACATTCTAAAAACAATATCAAATCACTAAACGAGTAACAACTCATCGCAGAACGCATACTAATAAGTTGTCCTTTTCCTTGTCGATCTTTGAGAGTTGCATTTTCATGTATTGAATGTCGCCCTGCAATCTGCATATTTCTTTCTCGTGGGCTTCCGATTCCCGATGGGTGTTGCTCATCTTGGACTGCAAGGTCGTCATTTCGGTTTCTGACCTCAAAACCTTGTTCTGAGCGTCCGATAAGGCTCTGTCGGCCTGTTCGTGAAGGGCTCTGAAGCGGATAATGAGCAGGGCGTAAGTATAGGAAAATCAAGGCATATACCAAGGAGTGACCGCAAAAATCGCCCGTTTTTTCACAATTCGCAGAGAACCAAAGAAAATAGATAAAAATATGTTTTTGGTCTCAAATTACTAGTCTTAAAAAATTAAGATGAGCATAGCTTTTAGTTTTTTGAAAATTTTTCAAAAATGACCCCTATTTAGGGGTTGAAAATGAAGAATTGAATATTACCAATAAATATAAAAACTATTAGCATGTGAATTTTTCTATCGAATGATGATTTATTCTCATGACTGAAATAAGCATGTTAAATTAGAAAATCCACCCTTAAGCGCGCTCAGGGGGTGGAATCATCCCCAAAAATAGAGAATATCAAAAATAATTGTAAAAATTACAAAAAAAAATATATTAAGATAATCCAGGGCTAGAAAAACATGGATTAACTATTCATAGTAAGTTTTAAGAAAAAACTACCCCTAAATGAGGGTTTGAAGCCACCCCATTCTCAAAAAAATACAAAAAATTCATTCTTATTTTAATTTTTCTGTAGAAAAAATCTCAGAAAAATTCATACATTTTCATGACTGAAATGGGCATGTCGACTACGAGAATCTACCCTCAAGAGCTCTAATCATTCCCAAAAATAGAGAACATCAGAAATAATTCTAAAAATTCTAAAAAAATATATTTCAGCATGCTAATAGTTTTTATATCGATTGATAATACTCAAATTCTTCATTTTTGGCATTTTCTCAACCCCTGAGTAAGGTGATTTTTAAAATTTTCAAAATACTAAAAGCTATGCTCATTTCAGTTTTTTGCGACAAGTAATTTGCGACCAAAAACATATTTTTATGTATTTTTTTAAATTCTCTGCGTATTGTGAAAAAACTGGCGAAAATCACAGGTTTTTTGCGGTCACTCTTTTGAGAGAAAAATTCTATATTTCCAGGGCAATTCCATTAATTTTAGTGAGACTAGCTTTAATGTAAAACAAAAGTTTATAATGACACGTAAAAAAAATCTAAAAAACTTATGTCAAAAACATGTATTTGTATAACATTTCAACAAAATATATTGTTTTCTGGAAAAAACGTGGTTAAAATTTGATTCTAAATTATATTTGAAGCCATGTATTTCAGAAATAATAATCCATAGGCAATAGAAAAAGATCGTCTAATTTTTTTTATATTCTTTGAGCTCTTTAATATTTTACACTAATTTCTAGAACATCCTGTACAATTTTCGAAAAATACTGATTATCAAATTTATAATAATATCTGAGGCAGTTAATTTTACATGTAAAAGAGATTACATTACATTTATCAGCATTTAAAGGTAATATATTTTTACTGCAGCAATATTTACTGCCTTCTAAAGTAGAGCACAATCTGATTTAGATGTAATTTCTGCAAATAATTTTAGATCATCAGCATACAATAAACAATGTACCCAATTAACATTCGTAGTTATGTCGTTAATAAACATTACGAACAACAGCGGGCTCAAAATTGAACCTTGAGGTACACCTGATCTCTGCAGGAACAAATTAGCATATATTTTGTAGATATGACTTTAATAAATTAATCATTGATAGTAATAGGCCTTAATTGGTCAGTTCGGGATCATTATATGAAACTTGGCGTCTTTAATTTTGTCGATATAAACAAATCATTACAATTGTGTTACTTACTTCAACTGGTTGTAGTTCGCCTTCTGATTGTTCAACTCGATTTGTGTGGCCCTTAGTTGTTCCTTTAATTGATTATACTCCTCCTCTAACTGAGCCTGATTGGATCTGCTTGTGGTCTGACTGATTACCAAGTCTCTCCTCTCATTTTCTAGTTTCCTTATGTGTTCCTCCATTTCCTGAAAAGCCCTCTTCATTCTTTCCTGATCGAACACGATTGACTCGTTCATAGACTGAAAAAAAAAATAACACAATCACGAATACATAATATTTTTTATTTACGAGACGCTGCATACCTGCACTTTGGATTTTAACGATTCGTTTTCACTTTCTAAATGTTTAAACTCGTTTCGAACAATTTCGAATTCTCGACGTTGCCTCTTGCAAGCTGCCTGAAAATGACAGAGTTTACTTTCAACTTTGTTACAACTATTTCCACCTACTTTTTCGCAAATTTTATCCATGTCAGAATCGGACTGACCCGTCATCGACTCCAGTTTCATTCGCATAGTGTGCTTTTCCTTACTTAAAGTGTGGATTTCATTTTGTAAGTCCGCGATCGTTTTATTCTTCTCATTGATTTCTTTCAGCAACTGCTGCAGCTGTCCCTGTGCCTGAGAATTTCAATAAACAATAAAAACATAAATTGTGAAGGAAAATGTAGACTTACTTCATTAGGCTTGTCGTGAGTCGGTACATTCCTTATTTGATCACAGACCCTATGATATTCCTTCATATAATATTCCTTTTCTTGTTTTAACGATTCCATCTGCTGCATTACCTAAAAAATTTGTAAACATAAAAGTCCCAAATTGGGAATAAATCATCTTCACTGTCACTTACCTGGGTCTGCCTATATTCCATTTCCTTATCCAAGAGCTCCTTCATGTGTTTGACGCAACCGTCTGACTCGCAACAGCATCTTCCAATTTGGGACTCGTAACCTGCTATTAACGGAGGAGATTTTTTTCCGTCGGTTACGTCCTTAGAAAGTGACGGACGTCTTTTGCTGCCAAATTTTTTACATGTACTCTTGTGCTCTGTTTTTTTGACAGTCTGTTTTCCTTTTTGGGCCTTGTCAGGAAGACTTGGTTTCTTTGAGATTGATGGCGGAATGTAGTCTTTCTGGAAGGTAGGCTACGGGAAAAAGACAAAAATAATACAGTATAACCAACCTTCTAATAATGGACATAAGAAAGTCGGTTTCGTCAGCATGAAAAATATCTTTAGGAGTGTAACTCTTTCTGCAATGAAAATTTACGTAAGCAGATTTACCACACACGGTGTTTAAACAAAATGTTATGCGTTTAACCAAATTTTTTTCAAGAAAGCACTGGAAGGTTGGCGAAACCATTGTGATGCCGCAACCACCGTATTCTCCAGACATGACTCCTGTGACTTTTTCCTATTTCCCAAACTCAAAAGGACAACCGAAGATTTAACGTTTTTCAACAATAGATGAGATAAAGACTTTCAACAGGTCATCGAAGAATCGTAGATTAACGTAACACTAACCTGCATTTCAAAAGAGGACGCTTTCATTTTTTCTTCAGTCACCCGACATTCCAATTCAGCTATTCTCCTTTTCTGCTCTCCCGTGACTCTTACCAATCTATCTATTTCCAAGTTAAGATCATGCTCTAAAAATAAAAATCAACAAATAAGACGATTTTATAAATACATTTAACTATTCCGAAAATTTATGACTACAATATCAAACACCTCATTACCTACCGATAATTGTGAAACTATTAATCCTATCCGTCAACCTCTTTTTGTCCTCTCTCTCTGTATCTAAAATACTTTGTAAGTGTTTCTTTTCCAATTTGACGGCATCCAAATCCGCCGATAATTCTTGTTTATCCTGTTTCAGTTTATGAGTTTCCCTTTCCAAGTTTTGAATAATAATCCCGGACTCGTTCATTCTGTCTTGTAACCTAGAAAAATGATAAATTTTTATATAAATAATAAATATATTCAATATAATAAATATTACCTAGTGACTTTCTCTATATTACTTCTTATCGTACTGTTACATTCTGCTTCGACGGCTAAAGCAATTTGATCGATATCTTTCATTTCCTTTTCCAATACTTTATTTCTCTCAGCCAAGTGCAGAGCTCGTCGCATAGCCTCATGCTGTTTTGCCAAGGCATCTAAAAAAAGAAATAGATCATAAAATATATTTTCTCGATTCAGATTTCACTAACCTTTAAGTTGATTGTGAAGAGTATTCTTTTCACGTTTCAAAGAACTTATTTCGTCTCGTAAAGCTCCTATTTTATTGTCTATGTTTTTATAACAACAATCCTTACTAATGGCATCTAAAGGTCTACCTCCCTCTAAGAGATTTTTTAACCTTGAGATTTCTTCATCTCTGTTTTGTAACTGGAATAGAAAATATAAATTGTATTATTTCGAAATAATATAACAAATACTAACCTGGTTTTTAAACAACTCATTACTCTGTACAAGATTCAACTGTTCCTCTTTAAGTTTTTTTATTTCATTACTAAGGTATGCAATTTTTTGATCGGCGCAAGCCATGGCAGTGTTTAATTGAAAACTTTTGCGAGTCCCTTCGACTTTTGATAGCGATGGTTGATTTCTTGATGACGTTACTTTTATTCCTAAAAGCACAATATTTAAATTGACATAGGTACTTTATATTGTTGCTAAAATAAGAATTCTGTTGCTACTTTGTTAACTACACTACAGTCTGCCCTTTACAATATCTTACCCTTTTTCTCAATCTTACTTAACTGTACCTCCAAATCTTTTATTTGTTTCTGAAAATCCTGTTTTTCCAATTCACAACTCTCCAGCTGATTTTGTAATGAAACAATTTTAGTTTTCAGTTCTGCAAATATATTTTTATAATAAAAAATACTATGATTTAAGTATTTATGTACCTCTTTGAACTTTCTCATGTTGCTCTTTAAATTGTATAAAGGCTAAGTGTAATTCATTGCATTCTCTAATTAATTTAGCATTGTCACATTTATATGGCTCAGCTCCTAACTGCAAATTATCTCTTTCCTAGAAAATTATGTCAAAAATAATTAATGACATTACACTCAACATCAAGAGGCCTTTCTAGTTATTTTTCCATACACATACACTTACTTCGATAGCTTGTTGAGCAATTATCATATATTTCTGAAGGCTCTCAGTGGTGGTTTTTAAATCTGAAAGTAATCGATCTACTAAAGGCACACAATCTGGTTTTAAGGTTTGTGTATAACCAAGATTGATTAGTTCCTGTCGCAATATCGTAAATTTGCTTTCCATTTTAATTCATATAATATTAGAATATCAAGAAATATATATTAAACCGTAATAAACATAATTTTAAAAATTAACATTAAAAATCGGGAAGTGTAAAAGGCTTCATTGACTTATAAATTATAATTCATAAAATATTTAAAGAGATTGTACATTTTAACAATAAATAAAATAAAAAGATAGAAAATATATGAAAATACATAAAATCACAAATTTCTATTTCACTACAAACACAAATCCAATCAAAACAAACCATCAACCGTTAGATTTAGCTCACATTACATGACGGGCAACTCACTGTTCTATGGGGCAACTGTCATCAACTGTCATTAGCATATTGGCATTGGCAGTATTGACACATATAACACTTGTGATTGGCAATTGATGGAACGGAAAGTGAGCCTGAGTTGTTCATCATTTTTGATTGTCCATGAAAATTTAAATAATTTAGTTTTGTTGAAATAGAATGAAAAGACCGGCACAAATTTAGAGCATATACTACATGGAGGAAGCACGCATATGGCGACAGTGTAGACGAGTGACAGAGAGAGAAAGGCACAGTTTGAGTACCACCTTCCTCTCTCCCGCAGGCACGTGATTGTTTACTAACGCAACTCCCTCTGGTCTTTAAAAAGCACATATGAAAGAGAGCGAGTATCCAAACCATCGCTCTTTGTACAGCGTCTACATTTTTTGACACACGGTGCCTCCTCCATGTAATATAAGCTTTCCACGGATGTCATATTTGAATTCAAATTTTACAGTTCTACCGACAGTAGTTAAAAGATGTTTTGTGGATAAAAGCAACTAATTTTGAATTTTGAGTACGTCGTACCTAATCAATTTTATATTAATTTAAAGGATGATTGAATTGTAAAAAATAAGAAGGTAAATATTTTCATTTAAATAAAACAGTATAGTAGGAAAATATTTTATATTTATATTTTTAATTAGTACTTAACACTAAAAATGCAAAAATATATAATCAGTTATCAATAAACGAATTTAATTCATTTAACAATTCATCTTCACCTTTTAAGGTAACATCTTCATATTCTTCTTCGTCGTCTTCCAGTAAAAGAACGTCCTCCTCCATTTTATCGGAGTCAGAGGTTGAGGGTTTTGTCAACGTCAAGTTACTACTATATGGGGATTCTCTCAGTTGCTTATCAGAAATATCAATCTGTTCTGATACAAAAATTTCTTCATAATCTCTAGAAATCGGTACATTCTCCTCATTACTTGTCACTACATTTTCATCTTTAACATTAGTTGAAACCATATCTTCCTCACTGATATTTAATCTTCTACGTAATTTTATTTTCCTTTTCGGACCGCTGTTTAATTGGCTTTTACTTTTATCTTCATGTAAAATTTTCTGTAAATTTTCATCTGCACTTGTGCTTGAGACTTCTGCTTCGTCTGGTTCCTCGATCGTCATTTTTTGGTCTCCAGGAAAACCCTCCATTCGTGCAAGTCTTTCCGCACGTATTTCAGCTAAAGTTTTTACTTTGATGTCTTGTACAGGTTCGGGCTTCTGATGCGATACATTCTTCTTCGGTTTTTTATCTTGAGATTCATTATGTGAAACAGCCATTGGCTTATTTTCAGGTACTGGTAACTTATTTAAAACGATTTGGAAGTTTCCATCATCCTTCTGATGAATAACTTTCTGTTTTTTTCTTAACGATTCGTCACCTGAAAAATCATTTTATTTTATAAACTAAAGGATATTGTAGATATTAATAAAATCATATATTACCTAAGATATCTGCCAATTCGTCGTTACTTAAGCGTTTGTTTATTTGTACTTTATCATTAGGATTTGCTGTAAACTTAACGGTTCTTTGTTGCGGAAGTTGTTTGGAGATAACTCTTCGAACTATGCGCTGTCTTAAGTCGTCACAATTGATATCGGTATGCTGAAAAGCTGGATATTGATCTAAAAGTTAACGTACATGCATTAAGATGTGCTGGTCAAAACAGAAATTGCACAAAGAGTGCCCGGAAGCGAATATAAACCAATTTAGATCAAGTTATTTTAGTGTAATTTTACTTCCTAAAAAAGTTAAAGGCCTTCAAACAAATTTTTTTGTTCTATTTTTCAGTAAAATTTGGCATAGGCAAACCATTACTTACTTAAAACTTAGGGGTTATTATGAATATCTGAAACGGCCGTTTGTTTTATTTAAACTTCTCCTTTTGCTGAATTTGTAGCTATGTTAAACATATTTTTTTATAATTTTGACAAACTTAACTCCAATCAAATGCTAACATCTCCTGAAACATAAACTTATAAATGTTGTTTCGCGGAACCACATTCCAGGTTCCTACAGCTGTGATTTGTGGATTGTGAAATGCAAGTATTATTTTTATAGGTCGATTTAATTAAAAATATTCGTTTTTCATTTAAGTTAGCCAATCAGGACAATATTCTCAAAGCATACATCACAAATTAGTGGTTATTTGAACCCCACTTCAGGTCTGTATCTCATAGCACTCTGACATTTGAAGTAAATTGTAAATCATAAAAAATATATACCTGCAAATTTAGCAAAGTAATGTCCTTAAAAACCCAGCTGTCTATAACTGAAGCAGCGGTGGAAAATTGAAACCTATTTTTCTCTGGAGAGATGCATTTTAAAAATATGCAACAGGTACAACCTTTTTATAACAAATAAAGTTAGGTTTTATAAAATATACCCGTTTTCTCAAAATCCCTGAACACAAAAATTACTGCAAAGAGAGTTAGACTATTTCAGGAATTTGGGGTGACCTAGGTACCTATGAAATAAACCGTCTCTAATAATTTTTTTCTCGCTGTCCATTCGCTTCAGAACACCCTCTATGTAATTTTATATATTTTTTTATGTGAATTTAGGATCAATATAAGAGGCAACTTGTATTAATAGCTCAGTATATGACGGTTTTTAGGTCCGAATTCTTGACACATGCACCGATTGACGTGAAATTTTAACAGTAAGTAGAAAATTGCTCAAGAAAAGAAGTTACATAGTGCCGATGTGTGCTTTCACCCTGGGGGTGAATGCCACTCCTTCTCGGGGGTGGCAATGAAGGCACCCATTTTAATCGCAAAAATCAATAGAGGGATAAATTCTAAGCAAAACGTTTTTTCCAAAAATTAATATTTTCCGAGTTATTTGCGATTGAAAATGTTGATTTTTCATCCAAAAAGTCCATGTTTTTCAACCATTTTTGGTAAATAACTCGAAAACCTTGCGATTTATCGAAATACCCATATAATGCAAAAATAAAGCTTTTGAAATAACGAATCGATTAATTGTTTGTTGATTATCGTGGATGTAATAATAACCGAGGTATCACTCTCTAAAAGTGATTGCTTATTTTTCGGAAAGTAAAATCGAACCTTTAACCGTAAAATAATGTCGAAAGAACTAATTTTTCAAAGAAAATGAATATAACCTTTTTTATAGTGCTTGGAATGACCTTTAAAATTCTTTTTGAAAAAATTTCGTAGCTCAAAAACTCGCGGAGTTATGAAGAAAATAAAATGGTCATCTCATTTTTTTTGAGAATAACAATGAAATCTATGGCTGAACCATAAAAATAGAAACCAAGTGTAATCCATGTATAGTTGACTATATTTAGGTACTAATAATAGGCTCTAAAAGTTTGACTGGTTTAGAATGCCTAAATTAAAAAAAAAAGTTTGAAATAATGAAAAATTTTTATTTTTTATTTTTAAAGAAATTCCTTTTTTTCGAAATAACTTAAAAACTAAACAAGATACGTGAAAAATGCAAAAGTTCAAAATTAAAGCTCTTTTTTTATAATATTTTTGCTCTTTCACTTTTTCTGTAGAGCAAAAATTAACTGAGATATTACGTTTTTTAGTTTGCATTTGCGTGTAAGGATCACCTTCTTTGAGCCCTTAAATCCTAAAAATCGCGAGAACTAAGAGTTCAAGACCCTTCAACTATCAAGGTTGATTTGTAGCTCTTGCAATTCCCTTCAAATTGCTTTTTGGAGCGATGAAAAATATTAAAGATTAAAAAAGTTATCGTGAAAAAACGAATTGTATTATTCAGTGAAAATTGTCGGATCGTGTAAATGGCTTAATTTCCGATAGTTTCCGAGGCGTAATACACGCACAAACACACACACGCACATGTCCAAACAGACGAAGTCAACAGTGATGATAGTTCTTTAGATGATATGTAAATTTTTGATAATAAAGTATAATTGTATAATACACAAATAATTCTTATTTTCCCTATCACTAATTACATAATTTAAGTTTCGAGTTTTAAGTAATCTCGTTGAATTTAGTAATGTATGGTTGAGTGTTTTGAAGCAAGTAAAAATTCTTCAATTCCCCACTAAGGGTTGTTTTTAAGGGATGAAACGTTGCAATGAATCATGTATTATTTCATAAACAGTAAAAAGTATTCAATTCTTCATTATTGCTCCGTCAAAACATTTCAGAGCCACGAAAACTAATTTTTGTTTTTTTTCCTCATAAAGGGTGGATTAAGGGTTGAAATATTGCTACAAATCAAAAATTATTATTCAAAACATAAAAGAATGCTTATTCTATTGACATAACACTTAAATCTACGGTTTTTACGTTTTCTGCAAGAAGAGGTAGTTTTCACCCCCTAAAAACAATAGGCACACATGATGGATATGTATGGGTGAAATGAGCTTACTCACCAATTTTCGTGTAAATCGGTGCGTGTGTCAAGAATTCGGAGGTAATACCCTATTTTTACTGTTGTATACTGGACTATAAATTTAACCACAAAAAATAATTTAATAAAACAAAAGGCACTGGATTAAAAAAAAATGTAACTTACAACAAAAATTTTACTAAAAACTTGCTTGGATGTAATTTTCATACCAGTTAAAAAAGATATTTCCGAATGTCGATTTTTATTAAATATACTTCCCACATTCACACTTATTTTTAAACAAAATTCTTCAAATATTTACACTTTATTTTTTTATTAGTAGTCTATGAAGCAAAAATTACTAAGCTTGTTATAGGACACATACATGAAAAGTTACAATTAAAATATATATACACGTAAGAAACTTTACTGCAATTACATCTAATACAGAACAGATACCTAAATATATTATATTGATGAGGATTTTTACATGACGAATCTAATTTATAACGCTACTGAAAATAAACTGATTGTAATTATCATATTAATCTACTTTCTCTGTTCTCTATTCCTATTGATTTATAGTTTTGCTTCAGTAAAGTACAGATTGAGAAAAAAATATTAAAATCCCTGATGGCTTGCAAAATAATTTATAAAAAAAAAATATTGAAAATATCTAAATAAAAGTATCTAAACAAAGTTGTTATATCTTACCAGAATATGAATAATAAGCAGCCGACTCTGCCTGTATTTTCTCGAGTTTAATTTCCTCTAAACTTTTAACTTTCACTATCCTTCCGCTTTTTAATGGAGAAAATGTTGGCATTGATTCATTGTCAGATTCTGCAAGAATACACCGGTTATAAAAATGAACATAAAAAATATTAGAGGTGCATTCTTGCAGCAAAAAATTAAAGAAAAGAAACACGGTATTGTTACAAAAAAACAACTTTAATTTCAAAAGGTACATAAAAATTAAGTAAACATTGCTATAACGGGTAGCAAAAAAGCATTTAGTACTAGAGTATGTTATTAACAATTGTACAATTTTAAAAAGAAACGATATGTTCTCTAATATATTAGAAAAAAAAAAAAAATAACAATCCTCATAAACGTAATACATTTAGAATTTCAAAGTTTTGTGCATATGGCAAAATATTTAAATGAAACTAGTTTCGAGACCCAAATTTTGCTATATGTACAACTAACATATGGTGAAAATATTTTCAAAAAAAACTATTTCTAATTTTTTTTCAAAACAATAATCCTAATAATAAATACTATAAAGAGGATATACATACACACACCGACCCCAAATCCACAAAAATAAATTCATTTTACAAGAATGCACCTCTCCAATATATATTAGTACTGTTTTGCAAAACTACAATTATCACAATGAGAATTATGTAGCCAATTCCGTTACTTAAAACAACGACCAGGTATCAGGACCAGCTCAACGGGGGAAACGAGGCGGGGGGGAAATCCGCAGACCCAACGAGAAATAATTCAAAACTCGCCTATCAAAACAGTCTAATAAAGCTGCCAAAGGAAATATGTACAGCAACAAGATAAATGCCGTATACTAGGAAAATCTAAACGCTGTGCTATATTTCTGTATTAAACACCACTAAAACTGAATATTTGGGGATTCAAGACAACAGATAACAAAAAATATTTTCCCCGTACGAGTGAACTTTTCAAGAGCTGTCCTTAGAGAGTATTGCAGCTGCATAGAATAATATATAAAAATGTAATTTATTTGTGTCTTTTTAAAGTAACTCATGTGAAGATCATGAAGGAATATACGAGTATGTAAAACAAATAATCACTCGAATTATAAATCAGTTCACAAATTCAGTCAAGATCTACACTGTAGCATTCAACTTCTTATCATAGAATCATATTAGCACTTTTTTAATTTCAATACACACCACAAGGAAAAATGCGTTAATTTGTATATTCTTCGCTTACGTGTATATTTTCTATAACTGGGACAAGGGAGTGATGATGACGAATACTTCTCAGATATGATAACCTAATGTAGGCACCTTTTTATAAATTTTTTTTTTGGGAGTAGATAGTGTAACATTTGCATAAATTGCAAAATAGGGTTTCATATGTATGCAATATTACGACCTTTTCTGAAAGAGACGGCGACGTAAACAAATCAGATTTCACGTCAATAACAATTTAATATTAGAAATAATTTTTCATCATCACCACCATTTAGCATAAAGTGTATTTATAAAACGCACACAACCTACATTTAGCATTGCTTTAAATCAATTTTTTTTTTGTAGTATTTTAAATACTTCTATAATTAGTCATAAATAATATATTTAAATATCATTGGCTACATTTGAGAAATACTTAAAATTTGTTTGGCAGACAAAAACTTCAAACTATACCCAAATTACATATAGACAAAACGACTGCCGTATAATTTTCCATACTTTATAAAAGTAATGTTTACTCCCGATTTCAAGCTGTCGCCACATTTTTTTAAGCATTCCCAACGATTCTCTTAAATAAATAATTTGAAAAAATTTTAAAAATACATATTTAGTTATTTAACAAAAAAGGAACATAACAAAAAATTAAAATTACAACAAACGCAACGAGACATTCTTCAAATAACAATTATTGCTCCTTTCTTTTCATAATAAAAATTATTTTACAAGTTGCATACCTTCCTCAAAATTCACAACTAGACTGTCAACAGCAGTAACCTTGCGTTCACTAGATTCACTATCATTATTGGATTTCTCTGTAAGCAACAAAAATACGACATAAATAAAAAACAATTTGTTACCACTATACATAAATCATTTCAATTAATACATATTTATTTTTTTGAAACATGTTTTACCTGCAGATATATTGGATTTCTCCACACTAACTTCATCGGAAGGTCTTGGATTTTGATGTAGAAATGGACAATGCGCCTTTAGACATCCTACAGGTTGAGATTCCCAATAGCAAGGTATTACCTTCCGATTTTTCCTAAGTTCCATGTGTCGAAAGTTGCAGTGTACATTAAGGCATTTACCTTCTTTCCAAAAGGAACACATTGTCTCACATCCCAAAGCAGAGGGTTCATGTCTGAATGTGCAACTATCACCCTTAAAAATTATGGTTGTTAGTTAAACATATGGTAACACTTGAAAACAGTTTACCTTGGCACACGTAGAGTAATAGTAAAAATAGCAGTCATTATTCTTCTTAGGTGACTCCAAATCCGTCATCTTTTTAAAAAAGTTGTCTGGGCTGCAAAATTTAAACATTAATAAACTGATACATTGAGGTTATGTTAAAAAATAATTCAGCTTTTAACAATATCCAGTTATCTGTTGTAAACGAAATCTAAATTTGATAGTTTTATATGCACAATACAGCTTGACTAAATAAAAAAAATTTATATTTTTTTACCAATAATAGCTCTCTGCTGGCATTTTGGAGTTTTTATTCACTCTTTTAAAATTGAAAACTATTCTGCGGTACGGCAGATAAATGAGTTAGAAGCGTAAAAAATTAACATTTTTTTTTAATATTTCGATAAAATGAAAACTTACCTAAGAAAAAAATAGACGACCTTCCACTTTTTCTGTCACCAAAATTAGTAGCTGTTAACGCGTGCGTGCTTGCTTTACTCAAGAAACGGAAATAACAACTAGAATCAATTCAAAAATGAGCGCGAACGGTAGTAGTTTCCAAATAGAAATTTAAATATTCGTAAATAATATGTGATGTTCATAATCCTATTAAACAGCACAAGAATTAACGCAAATGATCAAGTGAATTATACCAACAATAATTTTGACATTAAACCTACTTTGTTTTTTGAAGAAATAAAGCTATGGTCAAAGGTAAATGGAATAATTATTTCTATACATACTTTCTAGGAACTAAGTGTATATAAAAAATTACACCATTAAGTGAGTAATACATACACTTTCTTTATTCTGATCTACAATTTGTTTAAATTTACTAAAACCGAGTAGGTATCTCAGTGGGCAGTTTGTACATTTTGGCTATAACTGATAAATTTCCTTTTTCATTACTGCATTAGTAGAAATTTGTAGTTTTTATAGCCAAAGACGACATTCAAATAAGCATTCCCAGTTTTACTATTAAAGTAAATTATCCGATATAGTGTTTGAATGTGTTTCCTTTAGGTACCTAACTAAAAACCAGGAAAGTACAAAACAAAGTTCAAGGGACATTTTATATATTTTTTAATTCAACATCTTGTTTAAACACAAACTCTTCTTTATAGTTGTCGCCGGCAGCACAACTATTTACACAAGTATAAACAGCAATGACTCCCCAGTCTAAATCAGTTTCCTTCAACATAGTTAGCATTTGAGGCATGATTTGAAACTCGAATTTTCTTTGTCCACCACAATAATTGCAATCGGGAATTATTTCAGGTATTGGCTCTTTGGCGATCCAGAGAGGCTGTCCTCCTCTTTGGTATCGTATAACTTGATCCGGCTGACAATTTATTCTTTTTTGAAACTTAGAAAAAGCTTTGTCCTCTTCAACTGTAGCATGTTCATCTAACTCTGTCTCCGACACATCATTCATTGTTCCCGTTTTGCCTTCTTCTTGTAATTTATTAAATTTCTGCAACTCTTCTTCATTTACAATTTTTCCTCCAATTTCCTCAGGTTCCGTGATCATCTCCCACTCAATAAATAGCAGCTTTGATTTTCGGTCTGTACATGAATTGCAACATTCCTTTTTATGTCCTTCTCTCCAGTCTAGTACTTGATGGTCTCTACTGCAATAATATATACTTTTACATTTGCTGCATTGTTTTTCTGCCATACATCCACATAAATTGCAAAAATTTGCCCATTTATTCAAAGAAAAGTCCGGATCAGGTCTGTCTTCCGGAGGATCATACGGATAAAATTTGTTAGCCCTTTGTAAGGAACTACGGAACACTTTAAAATTTTCACTGGTATTTCTCTGGCAACATTTCGAATTTTTACACACAAAAACGAATAGAGTGCGATGAAAATTTTTAGCGCAATTTATGGATGGAAGGGTAATATTTTCTTCGTAGGGCGCATAGATTTGGCACAAAAATATCATAGTTTGTTGACAATTTTTACACTGGAGTTGCTCGGGAGTTGGTAAATTTTCTAGGTCTAACCATGCCGGTTTCCCTCCTACTTTACTAGGAAACAATCGACTTTCCGCTTGCCACGGTTCACATTTTTCCAAAAATCCTAACTCAATTCCAGATCCCGACATACTATATAAATTATTACAGTTTGCAAATTTTAGGTTAATAAAAACAGACTTGTGATTCTGTGAACAAATTCGACAGAATCATAGAACAATAGAAATATTAATCAATAACATCACTGATATTATAATTGTAGAAGATATAACGGGTACTTAAGAGTTATAGGTTGTAAATGGTGGTAATAGTTAAGATACTCTAGATTAAGAACGGAGACAATGTTTTGTATTATATTGTAGTATATACTAGGCCTCTATGGTGATCTACTCAGCTAGTGAATAGGATTATTCTGATTGTACTAATAAATATAACATTTTTTTATTTTAAAAATGTTTTCTTTCTTATTTTTGGCAAAAGAGATGGTTGTACCTAATACATATAGCTAATATTTAAATAGTTAAAAATGTTACTACATTAAATTTGAGTCACTATTTTATTAGATTTTAAGAAACTGATAATTAATCATGAAACTTTATTAACAATTTTTGTTTAAAACTTATCCAAATATTATATATCTTCTTTTTTCTTTCGTTACATTTTTCGCTTAAATTCAATCGTTTTTGTATATAATCGGGAATAATTCCAATTTCTGGTGCATTTTCTATTAGAATGGTAAGAATTTCAGCACTTTTAAATGGTATTTCTGAAAATTCATATATTCGTATAATACTAGATGCCATACATACCGCAAGATTATAAGAAGTCATTTTATTAAATTTGGAAAAACCAGCAACTTCATGAAAACAATTCATTAAATATGACAACAGATTTAAGTTTTCTATAGGAAGAAGCAAGGTAGCGACTAAAAGTAGTTCTTCCTTATTATCTAGGTCAAGACAAGCAAAGAAAAGTTCATAATACACAGGAGGAATCAGAGGCACCGGTAATTTTCCTATGTAATGCTTCAGAAGCACAGCTGCATCTAACACATCAACATTTTCATTTTGCCAGGATACTTTCCTATGTATTTTCTGTTTGAGATCATCTTGTATGGGTACGGAGCCTGTTTCCCAGAATATTCCCTTAGTTTCTATGTGTTGCGATATGATACTGCATAAGTCGTAAAATATCTTTGGTATTGAAACCATGCGATCTGTTTCTACTTTTTCTTGAAAAACTGAGTGCTTCACTGCGCTATTAAAACCTTTAATTCCACGTTTCAGTTTATTGCCGACAGGTAGTTGATAATCTCTCAAATAACTTACGACACGACCCCTTATAACTTTTTTGTAAGTACAATCATTCATATGCATTATAAGGTAGGTTAACAAAGAATTTTCTTATGACGAATTTGATGGTTTGACACTTTGAAGATGGTTTAGTCCATGGCCTGTTATCTCTTATGGACACAATTGTACCCTTATTGATCGTTGGAGAACATCTCACAGAGGACGCTCCCATCTAAAATTATGTCATCTAGCCATCTCATTCTAATCCTTGTTTTCATGTTTGAGTTTGACAGACAGTGAAGTGTCAGGTCAGATAGTTGGAATTTTGTGGTTTGATTTAAACATATATCTATAAATATGGTAATTATTTACTTTAGTGGCACCACCTCCAATTTTCATGAAATTTTGTCTACCCCCCTATTTTCTATGGTGCTGAACACGAATCTGCAGTTTTTTTGTGCGGTCGAACCTAGGTTTCGAGAAAAAAATTTTTCAAAATTCTAACCTGGATATTTCATATAACACTACGTAGAACTCTGTATATTTTATGTAGCTTTCCAGAACATCTGTTATGAACAATTAACACTGTTCACGAAACACATTTTCGTAAATTTCAAGTTAAAAGATATGTATTTAATAAATAAAAATTTTGTAGTTTGAATCCGCCATTTGTAATTCGTGATGACAACATTGAGTTCCCCCACTCTCATTCAACTCTGTTCATCCCACATAAAGTTACTATAATTTTATTTATTAAATACATATTTTTTTTAGTTCAAATTTGGGAAAATGTGTTTCTTAAACAATGTTCATTGTTTATTACAGATGTTCTGAAAGCTACATAAAATATACAGAGTTCTACGTAGTGTTATCTGAAATATTCA